GAGTACAGCCACAGCTAAGCTGAGCCGCCGTGACGATGCAGTCTATTGCCACGAATCGCTATGACAACCGACAGGATGCTCGCGGCGCGGCGGTTCCCTATCCCCAGCCTGCGTCTCCCACCTTGACCAACCCGGACATGATCCTGCCCGACTACGATGGCCCCGACTTGTATCACAGCCAGCCCAACGCGGGCCCGTCGCTGTGGAATAGCGGCCACCATATCGAGGACGGATTCCAGTTCACGCAGGAGTTCTACGCCAACCCCGACCCCATGTCGACGCCAATCATCTACGGCAATGGCACCATGCTTTCAGACATTGGAGAGGTCACCGAGGTGGAGAGCGTCGTTGGTCCGATACCGTCTCGCAATGCGTCCAAGCGCTCAAACCACAGTTCGGGCGACGAAGGCCCGTTTCGAGCCTCGCTGGCCGGAGGAAAGAAGTTCATCCAGCAGCGGCTTCAGCAGCAGCGCCAACAGCAGGGCAAGGATCGCGAGCGGAGGATGTCGACCGAATCAACCAGCACAATCGGAGCGCACGACGGCGGTGTCTTTGTCGACTTTGACGACTCCGCCAGCCAGGGAGGCGATAGCATCTTCCAGGGCGATGATGAGGAAAGCGTCGCATCTGCGTACGTGGAGGGGACGCCCGTCTCGCAGCACTTGCGCGCCTACGATCATTTGTCTGCCAGGAGACTGAGTGACGATGGGGCTGCCCTCAGCAAGCGGGCCGAGCAGATTCTGGCCAATGCTAAAATGAGATTAACTGTAAGCTCAGCATGCGGAGCGATGCTTTTCTTTATGAGAGAGTCGGAACTGATGATAGTTTTCTTCCCCCCTTTTAGCACATGGAGGACAACCTTACCCGAGCAAGAACATTGAGCTATTCATCTGTGTCGGACGGCTCAACGCCATCACCCACCACGACACGAGCTCCCACGTCCCTTCGCAGGCCCGGTATAACGCCATCTCCGACGAACCCCCCCAAGGGCACAAATGAGAATGGAACTGCTTTCGGAGCGACTTATGGAGCACAAAAGACTTCACTCCACCCTCAACGTTCTGCCAGCGCTCTCGGTTCTGCGGGAGGTTATCGGCGGCCCCTGCCTACATCTAGAAGTATGGACGGCCTAGGGAGCGCGTCAGCCCAAGGTGCTCAGCCGCACTTCCATTACTATCAACTAGACAGCGCTTTGGAGAATCTAGGCGAGGGTGGAAATGCTGCTGGCATGAACGGGAAGCAAAACGGTTCGCGGACGACCACCTTGGCGAGTCCTACGATGGGGGGCTTTTCCGAGTTGGGATTGACTCGTTCGGCCTCGGCATCGCAAATGCGTGATCTTCAGGATCAACTCAAGGGCTTGAAAGGAAAGATATCCACTCTGAAGGAGCAGGCACGAGCAGATAGCATGAGGCGCCGCAGTCTTCAGAGCCTTCGCATGCCGAGCCCCTTTACCAATGCTACTTTGGAGCCGGGTTTTGCGGACCAGGGTGGTGACCACAGCAGCAGCAGTGACGAGAAGCTCTCGGAAGTGGAATACGCCTATGGGCACACTGGTAATGGCGATAACGACTATGAACGAAAACAAGCCGAGCATGTGGCTTCACCCATTGAAGAAGAAGAAGAGGAGGAGGAAGAGGAAGAAGAGGTGATGGAGCAAGAGCAGGAATCAGAGGAAGAGCAGGAGAGCGGAGAAGGAGAAGGAGAGGAAGGGGGAGCTGGGGTACATTATGAGTATCCTCAAACTCCCGAGCCCCAGGACAACTATGAAGAAAATTACGAAGAAGGCGAAACGCCCAAAGGTCGAGCACTGGCGAGTCCGTTGGAAATGAGCCAGCAGGAGGTAGCCAATGGCAGCCGGAGCTCTTCGCCAGCCGAGAGCGTTGCCACCGAGTACACGGAAGCCGAATCGAGCCCCGAGGCCGTCCGAGATGGCTATTCCAGCGAAAGCGAAGAGTCGCTCTATCACGAATCTTTCCAGCAGCCCATCTCGCACGAAGATCGTGAGGATGCCTTTGATTACGAACACTTCTTTCTGCACTCTGCCATGGGAACTATGGGAGAACGGCGACTACGCTCTGAAAGCGTGAGCTCGACGGGCTCGGTGGAAACGGCTCGTGGACCAACACTGTCGCATAAGCGAAGCAACAGTGCAGATTCGACAGCGTCTATCGACACGTTTGCGACGGCCGCAGAGGATCCCGCCAGCCGTAGTTCAACAGCCCAATCCGGCTTCAGGGTCTATACTGCGGCCGATTTGTTTCAGGATGCCCGAGAGAGACACGCGAGATCGTTCAGAGACTCTTCGACCGACAGCAGCGGAACTGTTTCCAGCCAAGGGGTGCACCAACGAAGCAGCACCATGACGATGGCTCGGCCAGTCAGCCACAACTCGATCAAGACTATGCACCGGCCGTCATACTCGTCCTTTGAATCAGTGGGAACGAACAGGAGCTTTCCGCTCGTCAACAAGGCCAAGCTAAACGGCGGCATCTTGACACCTAGCGGCTCTCCCGACCAGCCACTGAAGCGGATCAGAGACTCGCTGTTGACCGATGCTTCGAGCATCTACTCTCAAGCCAGCAGCAACAGCCGAGGCGGACAATCACCCGCGCTCCAAGTCTTGTCCAAGGATGTCCAGATGACGGTGGAACGACTGGTGGCGAGTCTCGGCAAGTGTGTGTTGGCATTGGGTGAAGCAGATGGAGCTCATCCCGGCGGTCATGAGTTGTACAAACGGAGGATCGAAGCAGCCCTGCGAGTTCTCGAGGGAGAAGTTGAGCTTCCTTGAACTCGAACCGCGAGGTGAATTTCTCGACCTGCAGGAATATTTGTGGAGGGATTTTGGAGTACACGTTTGCTCGGGGCACATGTAAGGAGCGGAGAAGAGTACTGCATTTTACTGGAGATGGAAGACGTCAAGATGGGGAGTGGAGTGGACAAACTATGATTTTAATGCCGTCCGATGCCTTCTCTCGGCACGGGTAGCCTACACTTTCGATACCCTTTTCCTTTCCCCCCCCCCCCTTTTTTCCTTGTTTGTCTTATTACTTATTAATTTTTTCTTTCTTCCTTTTCAGCACTTTGCAAGACTTTGTCTGTCGAGCGTTTCTGCTTTGGGGGCATTGCTTGCTGAGACGAATTGCGATGATGACACGACGGCGGGAGGAACTTTGTCTTTTGGCGACCACCTGGGCTAGCATATAGAAAAGAATAAAAATTGAATACGTCATGCAATTTTGATTCGAAACGATTGCGTGATGATGTGAAAATTATGGATGGAGATGTTAGAAGTGAAAAGCAAGAGTATAATGATACTGCAAATAAGTACTAATGTATGTACATAGATACCACGGTGCAGTGAAGTCATCTCAAGCTGGCTGAGCGTCAATAACGGTTTAGCGCCGAGGCAGCATCACATGCAAACGGGGCACGCAAACTTTAGCAGCTACCTACTACCTAGTAGTATTTTCCCACGAGGTTTTTAGTGAGAAGCGGGCCAAACAAAAAAAAAGAACCCACGGGAACAGAAAAAAGAGCGGGGGTGACGAAGGTCTCGAACCAAATCAGGAGAGAGGGTTTTTAACGATACATGATATTAAACCGAACCGTATTTTCTCTCTCTCTCTCTCTAAACCAGACAGAGGAAAGCGCTCGAACGGAACGATTTTGAACCAGTGTGTGTGTACGGGAATAAAAGATCCGAACTTGACCCGGGCCTAAAACGCCTGACAAAGGAAACGAGAAGTTGTGACAGTGAAAGAACGTCGTCTGCGGCACGGTATCTTATCGCGGGATTCCCGTTCAGCGTTGAGAGAAAGTCTTGTTTTGCTTTTGTCTATATCTGCTAGCAAAGCACGACGGCGGACGGACAGCGGTATACCTACCTGCGTACATTGACGAGAGATAACATCCCATTCACCACTGAACGAGCTCAACCTAAATCACAACAACAACAACAACGACAACAACGAAATCATCATCACAACAACAGAGGCCATGGACGAAACGATCGTGAAGCAGCTCCTGGCATCGTTCCTCCCCCCCAACGTCGTCGCCCTCATCGACACACACATCCTCGACCCGCGCTCGCCCATCCAAACCTTCAAGCGGCAAGCCCTGACGCAAGCCCGCCTCGGCGCCTCGGCCGTGGTGCCCCTGGTGCAGCCCGTGGCGGACCGCGGCATGGCGGTGCTGGCGGAGCACCAGGGCGCGCTGGACCTGCTGCTGCCGCTGGCGACCATCGTGGCGACGCTGGTGGTGCTCAACTGGATCCGGCGGCTGGTGCTGTGGTGGACGCGGCTGGCGATGCGGGCGGTGCTGTGGGCGGCCGTCGCGGCGCTGGCGGCGTGGGTGTGGAACCGCGGCGTGCTGGTGAGCGCGCGGGACGCGGCGGTTGTCGGGGCGAAAGTCGTTGGTTACGTGGCCGTGTTGAAGAATGTTTGGCTGGATGAGTATAAGAGGTATGAAGGGCAGCAGGCGAGTGGGCGGTGGGACGAGTATTCGGCGAGGAGGAGTGGTGGCGGCATGTATGACCAGACGAGGTGAAGAGGGACTGGACTGGCTTGTGACAGAGGTCAGGGGAAAGCAAGGGGGAGAGGGAAGCAAACGAAAGACAACAACATGAACTTTTTTTCTCTCTTCAAGACACGAGACATGATGTATGAATGCGATGGGAAGACAATATCGAGGCTGGGAGGGGGGACGATACGACAAGTTGATAACGGCAAAGGCGACAGCGCGTCTTCGATCACGGGTGTTTTATTGCTTTTTGGATGGATGAAATTATCTTGTTTTCTCGCGTTTCTTCTTTTTAATTTGATTCTCAAGATGCAGCTCAACGGGATCGATCAGTTATACCTCCCGTTTTCTTTTTTTTTTTGCAAACCACAAAACGCCGTCGCTATGCATTATGCTCCCAAACTATCCAAAGCCAACTTTTTGTTACCCTATTGATATCCATTTCGTTTTCTTTACTTTTCCAACCCAATCCATATATCCTAATCTTCCTCGTCGTACTCTTGCTCGTCGTCGGGCTCTTTGGGGTCCTGAGCTTCGTGATACTGGATGCAGTCGTCAATGTGGCTGAGGATCCCGCCCACGCTGTCTTCGTCCGTGACATCTAGCTTGAGGTAGTTAATCATACTGAAGCTCTCAATGAGACCGGCCACGGCTCTGTTGAGCCGGCGGAAGCTGGAGCCCTTCATCACTTGGGTCTTGTCGTCGGGCGGGACGGACTCGTCGTCTTCGCCCTCCGGACCTTCGGTGATCCTCCTGCTACGCTCCAAGGGATCGTCGTCCAAGAGGGCCACGTCGGGCGTCAGGAAGCGCTTGAGATCCTTCTTCTTGACCTGGTCCTTGATCAGGTCCATCTTGGACAGGACGTTGATGTGGGGCACCTCGAGCATGAGCATGGCGCTCATGGCGCTCAACGTGCCGGCGAAGAACTTTGCCCTGTCGACGACAAACGTCGCCTCGAGCAGGTAGACGGCGGCGAGCCGGATGTCCAGGGCGCCCGACTGCGACAGGAACTTGACGAGGGTGGGCAGGATCGGGATGTGCGTGTACAGCTCGATCTGGCCGGGCATGTCGATGATGATGAGGTACTCTTCGGTGAGGGAGTCCAGGGCCTCGGTCAGCCAGTCGAGGTTCTCCATGAGGAACTCGAAGCAGTAGATGAGGCCGCCGTTGGGCCCCAGGCCGACCTCCTCCATGGCATCTTTGAGGGAGATGAGCTCCTTGATGTCGAGGTCGGGTGTGTGCTCAAAGGACTCGGCGGCGGGATCGAGGTTGATGTAAAAGGCCGACCGGCGGTTGAGCTGCAGATGGGTGATGAGGGCGGCGCAAAAGGTGGACTAGAACGGGAGCGAAGAAAAGCATCAGTGAGTGAGTTCAGTGTGTTTGGGAGTCTTTTTTGACAAGATGACGGTGTTTTGGTGGTATGGCATAGCATTTCATCATAGCAATCGCATAGCGCCGCATAGCAGCGTCTGCTCTCCCACTCGCTTTGCCTTATCACAGGAACAACGGCAGCCCGGAGGAGGATCGGAGGGATTTCCCCATGTTCGACACGATGGATTGCAAGCATCAGCACCAGCATCAGGAAGCAATCCGGGCCCCCTTCCTCTCTCTCTTCCTTTGCGATCAGGGCCGTAAGCGCGCATAAAAAAAAAAGGCAGAGCCAAAGCAAAGACAAAAGAGACAAGCCCATCCATACCTTGCCCGCCCCCGCAGGGCCCATGACCATGGCGCCAAACTTGCTCATGATGTGCAGCTTCTGTTTGGCTATATATCCATGCACAGGGTACCTTTGTTTTTTTTTCCCTTCCCTTGTGTTTATCTTCTTCTCCTTGGGTTGGCGGCGATTTCTTTTTGGGGGGGAGAGAGGAAAATGGCTGGGTCGGGGTTTCGGCGCCGAAAAAAAAAAGAAAATATTTCGACGGGCAGCCCCAGTTCAAGCTTAGTAGATCGAAGCTTTTCGCATCTTGGCGTGCGGTTACTTTTGCTTCGGCGGATGTGGGGTTTCCTTGGGCGAGAAAAGAAAAGAAAGAAAAAAAGGACCCGAATGGGGGCAGCAGCACATGCACGTTGCAGCAGCTTAGCAGTCAGATTCGTCGGCGGCAAAAGGTTGAGGGAGATGAAACTTGGGCGGCGGGGTCGGCAGAAATTGGTACAGAGTACGGAGGGGAGAGGTGTAGTGCTGGGCGTAGATAAGGGTAGCTGGTACTTGGACAAAGGACCCTGTTTGCATGTGCAGATGTACCTGGTACGACTAGTGCCATGTGGTACTAATCGCTGCACATGCTGGGGGGATGGAATGGGGGATGGTGGGATCGTCCTTTTCGTCTTACTTGCGCTGGCTGGGCACTATTTCCAACGAGTCACTGCAGAGCATCGAATGGCTTGTTGACGTGAGATGGCGCAATTTCTGGCCTTGGGCGCACTGCTGCTAGACCGCCATAGAGGGGTACTTGGGTTTGGCTGGGGGAGCAGGCTTTTCGCAGAGGTTGCTCGTTATCGCACGCCATCTCAGGTACGCGTGTTGGATGGCTCTTTTTCTGGCTTGGCGTCGTTTTGGGGTCCGAGTTCGAGTCACACCAAATCCAATCCAGCGTCCAAATTGGCACCGGGTAAGTTCTGCCTGGTATCTTGGTATCGTTGATACATTGCACGTTGGGCTTCACTGCAACAATTGAGTCACCTTGACCCAGAGGAATGGAATAGTACTCGTAGGAGATGGTAAGAATCACCAGCTATACTGGCGGTAAAAAATCCCCCAATCCTAGTCCAGCTCGGTCCTCCTTTGCCAATCATGGCCCCAATGGGTTTGCGGTAATTTGCACAAAAACAAACAAACCATGTCCGTCGTCCGTCGTCCTAGCACTATTCGGATTCTTTCTGCCAGCTTCTTTTTCCAAATCCCAACATTTGCATGTGCATGGTGTTGCGAAGAGCGGGGTGACTTGCTGGGTACCTGCCGCCCTGCGCCAATCCCGCTGCACCTCCCACGTACCCGCGGTGCGAATACGAAAGGCCAGCGGTGCATTTTACCCGCCTCGCATTTTTTTCAGGACATTTTATCTTATCCATGCCGTGCTTGGCCGCCCCTCTCCGACCGACCCCCGGGCCTAGATAAAAATCCAGGCAAATCCGCCATTTTTTTTCTTCTCCCCCTTCCTCCTCCTCAGCCATTTCTTATCATTTCCTGCCAGCTCACCTCTTTTTCTCCCCTCTTACATTCTCTCTTCTCGAGTGATTGTCCGTCCTCTTTTCTCCTCTCCGTCTTCAGTTCTCCTCTTCTCTACTTTGAACCCCTCCACACACACTCAGACCGCCACAATGTCTACTCCCAACGGCGTCGCCAAGTCAGGAACTTTCCTGTTCACCGTAAGCACAAATTCCCCCTCAAAACACCCAATTCCAGCTTGCCCGCAGCTGCTGACTCCCGCCCGCAGTCCGAGTCCGTCGGTGAGGGTCACCCCGACAAGATCGCCGATCAGGTCTCCGATGCCATCCTCGATGCCTGTCTCGCTGAGGATCCCCTCTCCAAGGTTGCTTGCGAGACTGCCACCAAGACTGGTATGATCATGGTCTTTGGTGAAATCACCACCCAGGCCAAGCTTGACTACCAGAAGATTGTCCGCAACACCATCAAGGACATTGGCTATGACGATTCCGAGAAGGGTTTCGACTACAAGACCCTCAACCTGCTCGTTGCCATTGAGCAGCAGTCCCCCGACATTGCTCAGGGTCTCCACCTTGACCAGGCTCTTGAGAGCCTTGGTGCCGGTGACCAGGGTATCATGTTCGGTTATGCCACCGACGAGACCCCCGAGCTCTTCCCCCTCACCCTCCAGCTTGCCCACAAGCTCAACGCTGCCATGTCCGCTGCCCGCCGTGACGGCAGCCTGCCCTGGCTCCGCCCCGACACCAAGACCCAGGTCACCGTTGAGTACAAGCACGACAACGGTGCCGTTGTCCCTGTCCGCGTCGACACAGTCGTCGTCTCTGCCCAGCACTCTGCCGACATCACCACTGAGCAGCTCCGCAAGGAGATCCTCGAGAAGATCATCAAGACCACCATCCCCGCCAAGTACCTTGATGACAAGACCATCTACCACATCCAGCCCTCTGGCCTCTTCATCATTGGTGGCCCCCAGGGTGATGCCGGTCTGACTGGCCGTAAGATCATCGTCGACACCTACGGTGGTTGGGGTGCCCACGGCGGTGGTGCTTTCTCCGGAAAGGACTTCTCCAAGGTCGACCGATCTGCCGCCTACGTCGGCCGATGGATCGCCAAGTCCCTGGTCGCTGCCGGCCTCGCCCGCCGTGCTCTCGTCCAGCTCTCATACGCCATTGGTGTTGCTGAGCCCCTCTCCATCTACGTCGACACCTACGGCACCTCTGAGAAGACCTCTGATGAGCTTGTCAAGATCATCCGTGACAACTTTGACCTCCGTCCCGGTGTCATTGTCCGTGAGCTGAACCTGACTCGCCCCATCTACCTCCAGACTGCCAAGAACGGCCACTTCGGCACCAACCAGTCCTTCACCTGGGAGCAGCCCAAGCAGCTCAAGTTCTAAGCGGTAGCTGCTACTGCACGCAGAGCATTCAACAAGCGCTCTGCAACGTGATTTACAAAATGACGTGTTTTTCTACATGTCGATTTTTCATCAGGCACATTTAAGGCGGCGTACGGTTCTCAACGAAACCTGAAGGCTTTTCCCCACTGGGATTTTACGGGAAAGCGAATGGCGGTTTCAGGCGTATTTTTCTTTTCCTTTGTTATCGAAAATTCACATATACCAGGGTGCTATGGGGGATCAAACGGGGGGCGTCTTTCAACAAAGACAAAAGTCTGGGATTATTTGCATAGACAGCAACAGGGTCACGTCTGCAAAACGGATACACATGCACGCACTTATGAGCTACGCTAATGATGGGTATAAACAAGAACTGGCGTTTTCGGGGACCAAAAGAAGTTCAACATCTTTTTTCCCGAGTTCTCTTGACCGAGCTGCTGAACATGCAAGTCAGTCGTCGGGGTTGGAAAACAGGAGAAGCTGGTTGATCGGGAACAATTTCATGGCTCGGAGAGTTTTTTCTTCTTCCTTTTTAGACATGAGACTTGAGAGAGAGAATAGAGAAGCCCGATTTCAAGGCACACGTATCGTTTCCGAGACTTTTTGTGAACCGTGTTTTTAATCCCCCGTCGTACGCTTACAACCCCAGACAGGAAGTCGGAACGTTACCATGCCAGCAGCAGCACACAGATGGGGATGAGAGAAAAATCGCCGAATGGATGACGGCAGAAATGCAGATATCCACCGCGGAGGACCTTGCAAGTTCTTATGCCTGCGTGTGCGAGGTAATACTCGATATTGTGTAAGCTGGGGGTTACCGTGGAGAACAATACGCCGAATGGCATTGTCGCGGGGTACGAAGGTGTAGGACAGTCGTTCCTCGGATTATGTGATGATTATAGATGACAATGCTAACGAGAATGAGACAATGGAGAGGCACAATGTCAGAAGAGGGGGAATGGTGATTTACATTGACGGGTTGCGGATAATGAGCAAGTTACCCCATACTGTAGGACTCAGAGTCTCCGCGTCGAATAGGCGCTCGGACATGTGTCATGTTGTTTTCTTCTATTGTCAGCCGATGACAAGATGAATGAAGACGAATTGTATATCAAAATTTGACACGTTGGGCGCCTATTGAGCAGAAACTGGGGTTTGACATGCGTGGAGACTCAATATATATGGATGAGCACAGAGGGAGGGGCTTACGTGAGAGATGAATCTTACGAGTACAGCTTGCATGCATTTCACCTTCCATCTTGCATCTGGCGGCAAAGCACGGCGTTTTCGATGCAACGATCTGATAAAACATCCTTGGTGACGTCTCGTCGGAGTTCGCCTTGACCACTTCTTTCGTTGTTTGGGGGCTGAAGGGGGGAGAGGGTTCCGATTGGATGGTTCGTTTAAGGTGTCTCTGAGGTGCTGTCGATCACTTTATTTGTCATGTCTTGGCTTTTTCTTTTCTTTTCTTCCCCCCCTCGTTCTGTTTGTTTTGCGTGTTCAATTGATCCAATAGAGGGCGTGTGAAATGTCAATCAGTTATGGGGACTGGGAATATGGGGGGGAGTGAGAGTGCACGGATTCGGTGTTGGGTATGATGTCAGTCAGTCTGTCAGTCTGTGCTTTTGAGAGGGCGTGGGTGTAGTACTCGTACGAATCTTTATTGCGGAAAAGTTTGTTTTCTGTTTTGTTTTTCTTTTCTCCTTCTTTGTATTAGTAGTGGTGGGTGAGTTGAAGTCCATACCCACGGAATGGGGAGGAGGGGAGCAGTGAGCATTTCATTCTTTCTTATACCCCTAACATTGATTATATTCAAGGGTGTTTCGTTTCATTACAAAATGATTGGCCTTATATGATAGTATTAATATTTCGATATTTACATTTCAAATTCAGTATCCAAGGAAAATTTTATAAACGTAACTCCTCTCCTTGCATGTCCAAGAGCAAGGGTACGGGTAGCATCATTTGCAGTAGAGCAAGTTGGTCGATACTGGGGGGGAAGCCATACAATCTTACGGCCTTGGAAACATACCCACTGATTTTCCAGTACTGTAAAATCCTTGCGTTTGACATATCGTTTTTGAAATCTCAGAAACTCTAGATCCTCTACTGGAGGAGGGCTGGTTGACACGTCATCATCCTCAGGGGGTCCGTATACCTTTCCTGCCAGGCCTTCGTGTAACCTGCCTGTGTCCATATCCCAAGGCTCGATGACAGGGCCACCATCTCGCTCCCGCGCTAGGAGTTGACCATTTATGGAAAAAGCCAAGGACGTGAGACGCGTTGGGCAAAATTGAAGAATACGTACCAATGACCCTAGAGTCCAATCCCAAATTTCGACAGTCCAGTTAATGTTCTCAGGCTCAGTTGAGAAACCGAGAGCCAGGTTTCGGCCATCAGGGGAAAACGAAATCGACGTCGGTCGAATCCAACGACCTTTTCGTTGTATGCGTTTTAATGTTCGTTGCAAAACCCAGCATCCGTCGCCCTCTAAGCACTGTTGTAAAATCCCGGTTGTATTACCATTAATTTTTGTAGGGCTTGGACATTGCATCAGTTCCCCGGAGAAACCCCAGAAGGAGATGCCTTCCCAATTAGCAGTTGCTAATTGTTGGCTGTCTGGTGAGAACGCCATCCTATTACACCCGTGCTCCGCCAAGATGGACCAGTGGATGCTCATCTTGATATCCCATATATGAATGGACTGGGCAGGTTGACGTCGATCAAATGAGGCCTCAGAAGCACACGCGAGCAATCGGCCATCCACAGAAAATACCTCGGCATTTGCTATACGGTAATCAGGTTCGTGATTGTTCAAAACCAGCTGCAGAGCCTCCTGAGATGAGTTCCAGACACTGATGCCTCTGCCAGGGGAGGAGATGACCAGTTCGCCATCTGACGAAAATTCGATGTATTTCACCGACATCGATTGAGGCTCTTGATTTAGAAATTCCGCATCAATATCCCAAAGCTCAATGGTTGTTCCCCAAAGCGAAGTAGACGCTAATGTTTTGCCATCTGGAGAGTAAGCAATATTGTAAGCTGGATTGGAAATCTCTTTGTACACGCGGTTTCTGGCGAAATCCCAAAGCACTGTGCCACAGAAACTGCCAATTGCTAGGAGCTGATTATCTGGTGAGAATGCCGTTTGATTTGTCAAGTCGCTGCGTGGTTTGAAGCTATATGTCAGGCTGCCGGTATTGGCATCCCAAAGCTCCACGGTGGCATCCCCAAGCGTGTAACGGGAACCTTTACTGCCAATGGCTAATAGCTGGCCATTGGGTGAAAATTCTAAGGAGAAGATGTCTTTTCCTTTCATTTTGTCCTTGATTGTTTGTCGTACAGCGCCTGTGGTAGTATCCCAAATTACTATATCAATCTCCTCGGCACCAGCTAATAGCAACCCATTTGCGGAGAAGGCTATAAACGGAAAAAAAGGCGAACCTTTGCCGAGCTCATATTTCTGAACTCCCAATGTAAGGTCCCATAGTGCAATGCTGCGACGACTGTTGGTTGCCAGCAAACTGATATCAAGAGAAAAGGCAGCAGCACATAAGTCATCATCGGCATGTTGAGTACTCTGTTGCAAGAAACCTGTGGCAACATCCAGAAGCTTGATCATGAAGCCCCCAGATTTTCTTGAGATGGATGCCAAAACCTGAGTATCTAGTGAGAAGGACACACGTAGAACCGCATCTTGACCCGTAAAAGTTTGTCGCAAGGTGCCGGTGGCAATTTCCCAGATTCTTATAGTTTGGTCGCGAGAGTAAGACGCTAACAGAAGTCCGTTCGAAGAGAAAGCGATATGATTAATGCGCTTTTTGCAGCCGTCAAGCGTTTGTAATTGTGCGCCCCAATTGTCTTCGATGTTTCTTGGTGTGGACACCCAATCTGGCTTTTCTTCAAGGAAAAGCCTTTTGATTACTGAACGGGTTGGAGCGAACGTAAGGCCAGAGATATAGAGCTGGAGAGGCGCAACACCAGCAATATATCTAAATTTAAGTATAAATCGTCTGGCATCGTACAGAAATTCCAGCATATCGGAATTTTGGCCACTCTGAAATGCTTAGAGAAACTATATCAAGAAGGCCTTGAAGAAGCATACCTGTGCAACAGATTGCAAATTCATAATAGCATGAATAACATCTGAAACCAAACCTAAAATACCCATTGCTTCTATCCAGTGAAGCAAATGTTTTTTTAAAAATAAGAATGCATCTTCAATAAGGGTTGCTGGATCTTGCCCTTTTGCTAAATGGTATACCCAATACCGACACGAATACTGTAATTCTGAGGGAATATACTGATAAATAATGTCAGCAGCTATCTCCCTTGGACCGAGTCCATAATCCGAAAGATTGCAAATATTCTTTTTTAAACCGTCTGACATTCTACGAAGGCATTGGGAGGCGAGGATTCTGTGCGTTGCCTTTTCATCTACCCAAAGAGCAGTCTTTCCACGTGTGTTGTGATCGAGTAAGAAATCACGAAAGGATAGGTGAAATAACCTTACTGGCGCAGTTTCGTCAATTGGTATGTTCAAAACGGAATGTAATGAATTTAATCCTGTCTTGATTGTCGTAGTCGGAATGCCAATAAGACTTGATAGTGCGATGATTGACAGCGGATCCTTTAGGAGAACGATTGTGCTAACAAGTTCTTGAACTTGCTTGAACTGCCTCTGCCTCCCTTTTTCGCCATATTTTGAACATAAACGATTCAGTATCGGAAGATAAACGACATCTAGCTTAGAGTCTTCATATTCATATCTGAAAATATCTTCCAAGGCCTCCTCGGGGTCCAGATCGTGATCTTGAAGCATACGGCACACAGTTGCAGCAAAAATGAATAGCGGAACGGACATGGCAACAAGTGCCTGAATCTTAATTCCGCCAGGCCAATCTTGAGACATTGATCTGTATTTTCGGATACTATCAAGCTTGTGGTTTATGAAGAGAGAGATGTCATGTTCAATATCGGCCCTAGGGACGTGATGAAGGACCAGATCATGATAATCTCCCTCTACATCTTTAAATCCCAATCGAATTGGTAACTCGGGCCGGCTTGTGATGAATACTCGAAGTCGAATAGACTGAGTCGCCTGCAATTGTGGAAGCAGCTGAATTATGGCTCGGATATTATTGTCATCCTCGCACTCGTCTAACGCGTCGATTACAATTATCATCAGCGGAATCTCACTGTTAGTCGAACGCAAGGATGATAATGGCTGAAGGATGAGTGTCTCGAATTGCATGGATAGGGCTTTGTTCGATATATCGGGCTGTTCTTCAATAATCTTTCTCAAATCGATTTCGGGAAGTTTTTGGTATACTTGTTTGGCGATTGTAGGGAAGAACTTAGACGCGTTTCCTCGATCTGCTTCACCTCTTTTGAAGAAGAAAGTGGCGCCAAGTGCTCCTTTTTCTTGAAAATATTTTGCCAAGGTTCGACAAATTGTAGATTTCCCAGTGCCAGCCATGCCATTCAACCAGAACATGCATTTCCCCTGCGGTGAAATTGCCCATTCGCGAATCAAATGAAGAATTTTAGTCCGGGTTCCTGGAAGACATTCGTCGTCATGTTGAGTTGCAAATGAATCAAATTCAGCTCCATGAGCAGTTGATAATTTCGCCAAATCAAGTTTGTAGTTGACACTATCTGTCTCTTGAACTAGGCTTTTAAGTTGATCGTGTATGCCTGAAAATTAACGGCAAGTTAGTCAATATTTGGCATGTTTTTTATTCCGTATAGAATCTGGAATACTAACCTTGAAGCATATCAATAGCATTTTCCCCTGCTGCCACTTGTTCGGGGATGAGATGGCGCAAAAGGTCTTTTGTATATGCTGCCGCCATGATTGCTGCATACCCGCGCCATTTGTCGTTCTTGTGCGAATCCGAGTAATCACAAATGCCCCGAATAACAAGACATGGGAAGCGATTCATCAATCCCGCAGCCTCCATCTCGAAACACAAAACACCCCTTTCCATTGCGAGTTTATCACGGATTAGGGCGTCCTTCATGACTTGATTCCCAGAAGCAATCACTCCGTAATGTATGGCCGGATCATCGTCATCTTGATCGCGTGGATCTCGCAGTTCTACATGGGCTGCGTCGCTGCCACATGATTGGCAATCTTCCGATGGGGTAGAATGTATAAAAGTCGATTTATATAACTGATCATGGATATTTGGACGACAATATGCCCTCTTCAACCTTGGTTTAGTCCGGAGAACTCCTTCCACATCGTTGACGAGAGTATGTCCTTCCAGCTGATGGCTAGCCTTCAGGGACTGTAGTGCCGTCCGCAGCATCTCCGGAGGCTGGTTCAAGAAACCCGTCTCAACAAATTCTTTTGCCTGTATCGATTTGCCGAAATCGTATTGAAAGACTCCCCCATTGCCGTTACCTGGCGTGCTTACGACGATATCACCAAGTCGAATATCATGCCGCCTCGAAGGGGCGCCTCCACCAATCCCCACCATCATCCCAATGCGAATATTGGGAAAGCTTCTTATCATGTTGATGGCAACCCCAGCAGCGGAAGCTGTGCCGTATTCTCCCAAGGGCAAGCAAGCAATAACAATGTTATGATTGGACATTTTGCCTAGTACATAGTTGTTTGAATCTTTCGGGTCCTGGAATGTTAGGCGCTCATGCGTTTCGTCAAGAAAGGCTCGCGCCGCAACAAACTCCTCGGTAATCGCACATATCCAACCAACAGTGTAGTTAGATCGATCCATTTGATATTTTGTTGTTAAGACAATTGCTCTTTAAGGTGAGATTGGGGTGATTAAAGTGACAACAGGAGTATGAGCGAGTATTTCAATCCATTATCCTACTGCAACCCAATTTATGCCTTATGGCGACCCAACAGGCAGCAGCCCATCATAACCACAAACCAATTATATCACAGCCTGATATTAATTTGCAGGCGGAGCGGAATATATTAATCCCTACCAGCTAATTAAAACAAAAGAGTAGGACAACTTTCCGTAGCCATATATTATACATAGTATTATCAAGTACTATTTACAATTACCATGGTGTATAATGGCAACTAAGGTACAGATCTGCCTTCTACCCAAGGAGCTTGCTTACGGAGAAACATATCGGTAGCGCAGAATTCTCTTCTGTCCTTTTAATTCTTATTGCTTTAGTTCTGATTGATGTATGTCTTAACTCGACTGTTAAAGTGCAATTCTGGATAAGAAAACCGTCAGTGTTAGTTACTACTTTAGGCGTCTTGAAGAGCTGGGGCCTCGACTCGTCAAGGAGGATAGAGGCAACTCCTCATGCCATTACCCCGCGGGTAACAAGTGTTATTGCTGACTGGATGCGATTGCTTTTCATCTATTCATTGCATTCTTTTGTTTGTCCCTTCTCCGAGGCTAAAAGAGGTCTAATATTTCAGCTTCTGTAAATGAAGGCGTCATACTATCCAGTCCAGCAGGCAAATGAACCCGACAGAAGGGCACCGACTCTAGTTCTTGGTTCGCTTACCATCTGAATGGTAACTTCTCCTGCTATTTCCAATCTATATCCAGCAGTGAACGACTGCACGAATCATTAGTCCAGCAACCCATCGAGCTGGCTGAAGAGGGCGTAAGACTTACTATTTACAGACATCAATCAATGGCCCATTGTGCCATGCCCAGATCCCCGGGACACACGCATCGAACGTGGCGCCGGTGTTTGGCAAGACGCAGACTAAAGATATAGCTGACAAGACTAGCACTTCCCAAAGACTTGGTAGGGGATGTAGGGTATACACAATAAAAAAGGAGGGGAACTATCACGAAGGGGAGATGGCGTCTTTGTTCGTCCCTAAGCCATCGGAAAGACGTCCGGCCGCCTGGAACGAGATACAATTGGGGCGCGCTCCATGGAGTACGGAGGAGAAAGACGCGAGAAGGCCGAGGTGGCTGTCAGTGTTTGATGCTAAGTTGATAGTTGCAGATCTGCGGACATTGAATGAAGCTATCTCGGTTCGCCGAAAATAACAATACCAACGCCATGGTTTAGTGAAAGCCCGACAAAGAAGCAAGTCTGCATACAAGTTCCGCTCGGCCCCTGCGGCTGTTGCGGATTCGAAACATTCTCCGCTGGTCGTGTTTCTTTAGATGGATGGGTCTTCGTACTAGAGGGAATCGTGCCAGAGTGAGTGGTACGATGCTCGTCTATCCGTGTCTCTGTTACGTGTATCTGAATAGGCCTGCATCATGGAATCTCCATTTCAGACGTGTAGTTGGTTTTGCATCTATTCACAACGGTCTCTGTCGATCACAAGCCCCGCTTGAAAAGCTATTCAATTGACTCACATGGAGTATGCCCGTACACTTGCATGTAGTGGACTTGGCTGGGGATCCTTCAGCTGGAAAATATCCCCAGCCTGCCCGCTATGCGTGGTCAGCCATTTACCCCGTAGCCAGCCAAAGCAGCCTTCTTTCTTTCTATACGAGTATTAGATATAGCTTGCAGCCAGAGGGATTAAGCTGATATCTAGTATCATTCGAAATCCCACAGCTTTGGTTGACGGCGTCCTGTAGGGCGCCAGTGTTCAGCCTTCGCCCTTGGGCCTGTCTCTGTCATCCATGGAAGGCGAAGATGTGGATGTTTCACGCCCTGTAAGGACAGACACCCCCTTCTCTGCTCCGTTTCTCTCGGTTCGGGTTTCTTATTTCCAGCAAGCCACCTTGTTGGCGGCAGACTAAGGTCAGACCAGCGCTGAACCAACGACAATGGTGCGTGTCCCTTACCGTGGCAGCGGTGCTGGGAGGGGCGTTAAACATAACCAATTACTGCAATTAATTTAGTTAGCAGACAGTCACCATCATTGTATCAATGGATGAATGGATGGTTGACTGGGCTGGGTTGGGTTACAAAGCTGCAGAACCCGAGATCCAAGATGACGAAAGTTTACCTGCTGCACTTGTTATTCTCCAGTGTCGATGATCCGTCTTGATTATCGATTCATAGCGGGTTGTCTAGCAATAGCTCCGCATTCTGATTGACCCCGATCCGCCGGCCCGGCAAATACAATGCTCGGGCCCAGCAGCTGGGATCAGAAGACGACGCCGTCATGGTCAATGCATGGGCTTTTTTTTCTTTTCTTTTTCTATTTTTCTTTTTTCTTTTCCTTTTTTGACCCATTGATGTTAAAGCAGCCAATAAGATATGGCAAGCTTAAAGGAGTCGTTCGATGGGGGGGGCTGTCTGAACGCAACGACCAACGAGAGGGCCGAGGGATGAGGGGCGGCGGAGGGCGTGTGAGTACGGGTACTAGTATGAGTGAGAAGAATACCAAGGGCTATTTGCGATTAGATCCGAGAGCGGTTATGCACGCACTGATTGATGTCCAGGAGCATGGAGATCTCATTGTTGCAAAGAGGAATCGGAGATGACGTTGTAAAGATCGGGCTGAAGCCTATAGCATGCGACCCATTGCATCGAGTTGAAGGCTACAGCACGTTGCTCATTGCATCGAGTCTGTGGAATAAAATTGAGGGTTAGTAATTTTGATCTTGCAATCTAGTAGTAGTGTTCGCATCTAGAATAGAGACTTCGCAACTACATCACCATCACTTGGTATTCATCAGTCGTGCGGTTCTTTTTTCCATCGTCCACGTTGGTATTGACACGTTTGCCGCTGTATTATTCTTGCGACTCTTCCACACATGACCCATTCTCATTGTTATTCATGACAACACGCTGAGGCATTGCTTGATCCAACAAAATCAAGATGAAAGTAGCCACTGGGCAAGCTTCGCACAATGGCCATCTCTTTGCGTTCACATGGTGGACAATACAATCCACAACACAAAAAATGTCTGGGGAGAAGGAGAATCTTGAGACAAACAGTCATCACTGTTGCTTGCCGGTTGACATACCATATCCACACCTTTCATTCACGAGGGCATTCATTGATTGCCGAAAGGAAGAAGGAAGAAAAAACAGCAGCAGTGGAGAATAGCACGGCGGGGCATATATGTTGCATCCCCAAGGTCGTTCAAATTCATTGTCAAGAATGCAGAGGACGCACCCATTACATGGAGAGGCTACTTCGTTTGTCGCACTGCTGGCCCAGGCCAAAGCGTGCCACGCGACCACGTCAATGACCGTGAATCTCGGATCTCTTATTCTTTCCCATCTGACTCCACGGGTCACGGAGCACATAGACGGCCTTCCTCCTTTGCGCGTGTTTGCGTTGTCCCGTGCTTTCTGTTGTGGAAGAGGACGTAATTATGGGCATATGTATCGACTGATGTGTTTGATTCAGTCCCCGTAACAATAGCGAGGGCAAAGGGGGAAAAAAAAAGAAAAAACCACAAATTTGATCGCAAATACGACATTGATGACATTGACAGCGGTGGAGGTCTTGGCGGTTCTGGCAATTTGATGCGTAAACAAACAACGTACGCGCTGTGTGGATATTCTCTTCGTTTCTACTCCGCAGCGCATTCAGAGTCCAGACAAAGAAAGGCTCGCATTCGATTTCGATACGCAGACTTGCGATAGGCACAGCGTCACTCTAGGCCAAGTCTAACTTGGATTGGCAGGACGAGGATGGCCAAGCTTTTCCAACTGGCCGGTAATCAAACGGGCATGCATTAGTCGAGAGAAGCCGCGAGGAAGAGAGGAAAAAGCAAAAGCAAATAAGATGGCGGAAAAGGCCTTTCCTAGCCCAAGAGGAAGTAGTTTGGCCTGCGCCGGCTCTTCGGCCTGTCTGGCGGCTTCCAATCGCACTGGGAAGCGAGCGACAGGAGCTGAAAGTCGCCGGGATGGTGGCTGGAAAGTGTTGCGATTATTTCCTTTTCAGTATAGTGTTAGTGTACTGTAGGCTGGAATAGCGCTGGGAACGGGGTGGGCGTAACGGTTTTGCGGCTATTGATGACGAAGGAGGGAGAAGATGAATTCATTTCTGGATGGGGGGATCCATTCGGTTTCGACCCGAGTTGTGGGAGAGAAGAATGTTGGCGGTGGAATGAAGATGATGCTGGGAATAAGATGCTGGGAGCTTGGCGCAGGAGGAAATAAGATTACCTCTGATTACGTGGGGAAGCTGAAAAGGGAATATTCCGAGAGGATCATGATGCGGGAGAAGAAGAAACGAGAACAGACCTGTTGATCCAACAAGTAAGTGTACTGGTCGTTATTATGATGAGAGCTCGAGTTTCTTTACAGTACTTGAAGAAATGGCAAGTGACAAAGCAGTTACGAGTCAAGGCAAGAAGAAAAGGAGGCAAGCGAGGCAAGCAGGATGCAAGCGAGGCTCGCAAACTGGAAGGCATCCCAGGTCTAGAACATGCCACGATGCGGCAGCTTCCTCAAGAAACTCTCACCTTTAGACGTTTATCCTCGTGTTTTGTCGGCCCTTCCTGCCGTGTTGCGATGCCGAACCTTACTGCAACGAGTAATGTCAACGCCCGGCCGCTTCCTTCATCTGCCGCTGCGCTCCTTCTCTCTGCAGTAGACCCTCAAGATGCTCCTTCTCCAAGCCGCGCCTGCTGCAGCTACAGAGTAATAGTGGCAGGTAGTGTTACTGCAGAATTGGTCAGGGAAGGAGAGATCGCCCGCATCGGCGACTCGCCCCGCAATGTCCGGGTCCCGGGACGGCGGGCGCTAAACCGCTTCGGCACGACAATACGGACAACAATAGCAAGAGACAATAGCAAGACAAAAGCCGGCCAAGACAACGAATCCGCACCCCCTCAATTTCTTGCCTCACCACCACACAAAGCCTTTCAGGCGATACACACGCCTATTGAATCTGTCGCGCCACAATACCCAGACAATACGCTGGGCCGGCCCAGTGCATGCCGCAGCAGCTCGGCCGCCTCTGGAGGTTGGCCGACAGCGTACAGTACGAGTGCATTCGCCGACTGCTTTGCCTGGTGCTTGAGACTGGGACTGGGAACTTGTACCAGGTCCGTGTGTGGGCGGATGGATCGTTGAATGGACCTCGCTCGCTCGATTGCCGTGACAAATCTTGCGCTTCTAGCTTGGCTCTGGCATTCCTTTCCGCCATGACATGACGGCACGACAGCCGGCCGCCCCCTCCAACCCTCCAACCCTCCAAGCACAAGCGCTGCTTCTCCCTTGCAGACAGCTAATCCAAGGGTGGCATCCCAGATGCATCTTTGCAAGTCTCGTGCATACAACGTACAGCTCTGCGATCCAGTCCCTTGGCTATGGGAACCGCATCTGAGCACCTCCCTGGGAACCACGTGTGCAGTTTCTACCAGCGCCTTGCTGTTGTTGCTGCGATTTTTGTTGTCTCGTGGCATTCCTCCCAACCGTCGGCCGATATCCGTCGACAATATGATACGTTGCAACAGCCGCCCATGTCAAACACGCAAAGATACTTTGTGCAAGGGGGGGAGAAAAGGAGAGCTTGTACAGAGTATCGTGAGACAATCAGAACTCGATTGCGCCAGAAGAGGCCCCCCCTCCCTTCTTCCCGCAACCCATTCAACCCGGAGGTTCAAATCCGCCAGAAAATAAAATAAACTGCGGAACAACAAATTGTGTGTACTCGTCCAGCAGGGCTCAGCCGACACGGTGACAGCCTGCCAAGAGCTGTGCTGGGCACGCACTTGTAGATCACACACCCCTCCATACCAGGCTGTCGGACAGAATCAAAACGGGGGGCGTGTAGCTTTTGGGCTTTTGCTATGTGGTGTCCCACCAGCTTGGGTGCGCTACGCGGCATTTGCGCTCGGGTCGGGGGGCAGCAAGCAAGGATAAACGCTTCTCGGTTGCTTAATCCCAGGATCGCATTTGACGCATATTGCGCTCTGTGTTCACGGCCCTGGATAAGGAGATGCCGTTTTCTGTGTGTTGTGGACGTGTGTGAGCGAGTTCCGCGTCCCTGTGCGCTCCCATCCAAGGCATATCTCCGTCCCTGCTTTTTTGCCAAACTCCTCCCAAGAGCGGAGACGGGACGCAGCGGTGGGTGCGTGTAAGTTGACCACGGAGCCACAAGTCACCAAAAGGGCAATGATATTGTTGCTAGCGGAAGAGTACATGACAAGCGAGGCGTCGTGGTCCAAGGCCACAAGACAAGCCACTTGCAAAAAGGCGCACGGCCTAGGGGGGTGTGTGGCCTGATTGCTGCATGAATCAATCATGTCTCAATCATTCAGTTGAATCATGTTGACCGGGTTTAGATTGACCGCGAAGGGGGGGTCGCCAAACGGCAACGGACAAGTTCCATCTTTGGCTTTTCTTCAATCAAGGGGGACACGGGTCGGCTTCGGGGGGGAGGGTGGACCAAAGAGCTTCATACGAGACTGACAGCCGGGCCGTTTCCTCGAAAGGGGTATATATCTCTTCACCTGCCTTGACCCCTCGATCTATTTCTTCGCTGTTCACGTTCATGATATTCATCTTGTTGCAACTCTTATCCTCTCCCGTCATAATCACCATTGTCATCATCAGGCTCTACCAGGCTCTCCAGGCATCCACATTCCTGTGCTCCTCCCTTGGCTGTTGGCTTATACCATACACTCTCGCACTTCGGGAATTTTCACCGCCGCCCTGCTCTCACACGGCCTACAACCACTACCAACCGCATTGATACCGACCCTCCATCTCGGAAACATACAGGAAGAATAGAGTTTCTTCAACTTATCACCGTGAACGTTGGTTTTGGACAAAGAAGGGAGAAGAGAGAAGCAAAAAAACTCTTCACCCATATTTAGAGTATAGTTGCGTCGACCAACTCTCACATTGAGAGACGGAAACGCAAAGAGAATAGGCGACTTGGTGGGACTCTCACAGTTTGATTCACTGCCTAGGAGATATATCAGCAACTCACTGTCCCCTGTCATTCCACTCTTCAACTGGGTCCATTTACGGCACCTTGAAGTCCATCGGCTATAAGAGTTCGACTCATCCATCCTCTGTTATTCCCCCGTCTTTACACATTATACATTCACCATGAATACATCATCGTCTACCGCTACTGCTACTGCAGCCATCCCCCATCATAACCACATCAACGGCCCCAAAGTCTCTTCACATCAACCCTCTTTGACCTCCCCTCCTCCCGCCTACACACCACACACCGCACCAGACCTTGCTCAGCCGCGGCAAATGCATCAACAATTCATCTTGGGCCGTCCAACCATGGCTGAAGCCATCATGTCGGCCATGGCTACCGAAGATGAGGATGACCAGGAGGAAGAGAACATCTCCCCCATCAGCCTTCGCATCAACACCTCTGTCCTCATCTCCAAGAACAACAACCTCGTGTGTCTCACAGATACGCCAGCCAGCCATGCCAACGCCATTGCCAGGGCCGTCGTCAAGGCCATTCAGGAGAATAGCTCCGGGCAGTGCGGCATCCCCATGATTGACGAAGATGGCCGGCCTCGCCCCATCAAGATTGAGGTCGACGCGGGCATCACGGTTGAGGGCTCTGGGAATATCGTCGGCAACGAGGACATTGTCAACCAGGTTCTTCGTCAGCGTGGGCTTACACGCAAGAGGGGCGCTGATGAGGATGAGAATGATTTGTCTGCTCCACCAACAAAGCGCCGCGCCAGCAGCAGCAATTCTCCTTGAGGCTGTTAAACCCTCGAGACACTCTGCGTTTATCATCTCATACAACAACGCAGAACTTCATCACACATCTTCACCCTCAACTCTACACACATCAAGGTCATTTGTTGCGTTGCGTTACTTGGCGTTAGGCATCTTCATCATTATATACCCAAAAGGCAGTGCCTTTTTCTTTTCATGTTCAGGAATTACATTCACTACACTGGAAAAGGTGTTCATGTATTTTACTATTCTCAGGCGGGGGATACTATGGCAAGGGAAAGGAGGTGATGGGCTATCAGCAGGAGTTTCGGAGAATGAGAGTTGGAGGATAAGTTGACTGCTTCGGCACACGAAGCGTACGATTAGATGCAGTCAATAATGAATACTTGACACAAAACAATCCATGTCTCATACGCCCTGTGAATTTGTTCAATGGTAATGATGTTCACGTGTTGTGTTGTAGTGCCAAGGTAGGTCCCAGTGCTTTGTTGCAGTTGGTTCGCAGCCATCACATGCAAGGCAGAAACTGAACCCCCCCACGACTACGAGATCACGACATCCCCGTGTCGTTGGGCCTGGACACTTCTGAAACCTCGCATCGTCATTTTCTACAACGTCCTCGTATAATGGAGCGTCATCGCCGGCATTTGATTCGATGTTGTCTGTTGCTTCCCCCTCACCCACTCACCCTGTGATCTAGATCTTCCTTTGAGCCATGCAAGGGAGGGAGGGGGTGCGTCTGGTATGTTGATACAAACAACATCATCAACACAGACCTCATATTTTACGAGTACTCGGGCTACCTATTATTAAGCCAACTGCAGTGACGGCTTTTCGGGTTCACAGAAACGTTGTTGGACCTAGCAGAGATGTTTCCGCCACTTTATCGGGAAGCTGCCCACTCGGTTGGGTCCAATCCGCCTGAGCCACACCCGGATGTCTTATGACGAGCACGAACGGGAATAAAACACGATGCAACACCACGGGTAAGCATTGAGATGTGCCTTTTTTTTTTTCTCTCTTTGGACTTGAGAGTTTGTTGTTAGATGGTCTTCTTGATACGAGGCTCATTTTTGCGTCTCCCTTGTTTGACTTGGGAGGATCGATTGTGTTTGTTTTTCGCTTCGCCACTCGCTGAGCTTGTTGTTGTAGGTTATGACATGCGCAGAGTTTGGCCCCACCAACTAATGGTCTTGGCCATTTGGGCTGAGCTCCGTGTTATCGTTTGTGACTTTTGACGTGATTTGTTTGACTTGTCCGTGTTTCTCCCTTGAACAAATCAATCAATTGTTGGCTTCTTCTCACTCACTCGCCCTCTCATCTCATCCAACTTCGTCTCACATCTCCCCTGTTGTTGGCTCTCTCATCCTCATTCACTCACTCACTCACACCGCGCGGGGGGCGCGGGGGGGGGGGGGGGGGGGGGGGGGGGGGGGGGGGGGGGGGGGGGGGCGG